CTTTGGACCATGGCGCCAGCAAAAAAGTTTGAGTTTATTGGATTTGTTACACGGATGGTCCCGTGTAGCCAATTTTTACGGCTATTTTACAATTGAGATCCGTTGTGTGTAGACACAGCAGCAGCAACAAACTTGATGCCAGTGCCTTTGTGTGGAGAAGTTTATGTGATATTTGTGTGCCCAGGGTTCATGCTGTGGAGATGGGAAGTCATGCTGTGGCAAAGGGACAACCTGCGCCATGTATGGAGGGGTCAACCTTTGCCTTCCCCATGCTGAATTAAGCTTCCCAGGTACGTACTTTGCGGATGTGTTGTATCTTTGCAGTGTTCACACACCTGCACAAGCACATGGTTTTTCAAAATCTATTTCTCAAGCCGTATCAAATATACTTCTTAAATCCACTGATCAGGCCCTTAAATTTCGATTTAAAGATTTCGTGACTGCAGGGATTCATCTTCTTGGTTTTTTCGGTAAAGTCACGTAGAAGGGAAGTAATAAAATAATAAAAATAAAACATAATAAAATAATTCTCACGACGTTTCGGCCACAACGCAAGCAGCGTCTGTCTCCCTGACAGACCTGGTCTGTCGGGGAGACAGACCTGGTCTTCACCTGAGGACGGCTGCTTGCGTTGTGGCCGAAACGTCGTGAGAATTATTTTATTATGTTTTATTTTTATTATTTTATTACTTCCCTTCTACGTGACTTTACCGAAAGAACCAAGAAGATGATCAGGCCCTGTCACAGGTCGTTACATTTTTAAATGCCGTGAGAGTTTACGTTTAAATCATGTCCCTGTCAAATCTTGGGTAGCGAAGCAAATTTGAGCCTGGATAGTGATTGGGCGGGCACCTCCAATGTATACAATAAGCGTTATAGGCTGCTGGGAAGCTATGTTGTCGGAAGACGATTCAGCAAAATCCATTGTTGTACTCTACTATCCCACCTGCTTTCATCAATCGGCACTGACCATTGTGCTGAGCTATACTCAAATTACTCCCCTCAAGGCTGTAAGCAATAAAAATAATTTTTGTCACGCAATAAAAAAAAATCTAATAACAGTGGACTCCCCTCCAACCCACCCCACCCCACCGTACCCTCCGCCAAGTGGCCACGATGTTGAACCGTGAGCAGCAGGGCGGCTGCGTGGACGACAGCGGCTGCCCCGCGGGGAGCGAGTGCCACGGAGTGACTGACGACACCAAGGGGCAGTGCGTGAGCTCGGCCGTGCCCATCCCTGCGGAGGTGCTGTAGAGCGACTTTCGTGAGTACTGACACCCGCACACTATCTCATACCAAGGTCATGCGCCCACTGCCAATGAAGTATTGTTTAAGTTTAAATGTTTTAGGCCCTCTCAGCCACATACCAAATGCTAAATTCAACACCTGCAGTAATATTAAATCGACAATATTTGAAATCTATCAATCCACACTCTGTCAAGGCCTCTCCCATGCAGCGTTAGTTGGCATGGGAGTTGTTTTACGACATTCACCTTGATGATAAATGTATGTTGGTGAATGGGGATCCCCAGATATTATTCACCACTGAAGTTAGAAGTTAGCTATGACCAGCAAGCAAACTTAGGTAGCTGGGCTCATTGTGTCTTAACCACTCACTCACCACTCTACTCAAAGATTACACGATAGTATTGTCTTAACATAAAAGAGGAATACTTGAATGTGATTAAATAGGGAAATATAGCACGTAAAATAATATATACAATTAATGTTCATTTATCCACGCGTGGATTCTGAGCATTGCGAGTTAACCGTGCTTGCGGGAATTTTTTAATTTTATTTACCCACATGACCACAAACAGTACAAACCATGGACAAGTCAAATCAAGTATATTTATTTTTGGTTAATACCTGCCACCCAAAGCATTACACACGTTAACGTAAAATAAACCATTCTTTTCAGTAAAATTAATAATAAAAACAAGTGTTGGGTGTGAGTTAACCACACATTTCAGATGTTTTTTTTACGAAACACAACGTAAGTTGGGCAGATTGAGAAACATGACGCCTCACACACGATGCCTCAACAAACGTAACCTGACGCAGAGGGTGAACTGTGCCGTGATGTATCGTCAAAGGGTTGAGAAATGTTTGGGAGAGTATTATTCTGGCGCAATACAACGAAGACAACCGGCTCCACTACTGTGCTGTGCTAATGTTAATATGTCCTCCATTATAGCACTTGCATCAAAAGTCTGAGTCCTTATGAAGGGTCTCTTGTTATTACTGAAAGCTTGTTTTTTTTGTCCCAGTAGGTGATGGGCATTTCTGTCAGTGATGCCTGCTGCTGTCAGTGATGCTTGCTGCTGTCTGATCGATAGCACCCTGCTTACATCGCCAGGTCTCTGTGCTTGCAACAAGGCATTGCATGCGTACTTTCTTGATTATACATGATACAACAGATGACACGTTACATTAGGTACACTGCCTGATCAAGTTAACTGCTGTGCATGTTCTTGCCATTGTACACGGCACACTGCACACCATGTCTTGCAAGCTGGGACAGTTTTTTGATCCACAGTCTGCCAGAATCTCCTAATATTCCAGTAAAATAGTTCCCGTCTCTTGAAAGGTGATGTGTCTTGAAGCTTACTGCTGAACTATTTTTCATGATTTCATGCCTCAGCACATTTTTGGAATGCACTTATCACTTTTTTAGGAACAACATTTTTTAAATTTCCACCAAACAACTTTGTGACCCAAGTCTAAAGAGGAATGTTTCAGGTGAAATGTGATTGGATCAATTATGATCAATTGATTACTAAAGCTGCACGGGTGATGTTTTTTTTTTATAATCATTTATCAATGTTGTCCAACCAGACCTGGTTCTCCGAGGGAGATTCACAGGTCCATCTGGTGGATTAGATCCTGATTAAATTGATTAACTAGGATTTCTGATGATCCAATTGAACATGTGCTTGTCACACCCAACTTGACCCACTGCTGCAGCTTATTGGTTCCTTGGAGTCATGAACAGCAATTGCAGTATATTTACCAACAGCTCTTCACAAGATCACACACATACATAAGCACAACATGCACATGATTTCACAAGCTAATACCAAAACATCCACTGTGCATTGGGTGTTTTTCCAACAAATAACCAGTTTTTTTTCTTTCTATGACTTATAACATTAACTGCAGTTTTGATTTTTAAAAATGACAGCGATTCTGATTAATATGCGGGAGATGAAATTACAACAAAGCACTTGTACACCATTTAAACAAACATGTGAAATTACTCTATCAGTGGTGTAAAACGTGGACAAAGCATATCAGACTTCGTGTGCTTATTTTATTAAATGATGCTTCAACAATAAAACAATAATCAAAGGCACCTGCTGTGTTTTTGTGTTCTTGAATGTGTAGTGTTGTACAGACGGACTCTTCAACGTCTTTTGTAGCACACACTTTTATTCGTCTTATGAACACAGTCCCTATGCACTGAGGGGTATACGGTCCCCTCACCCGTTACACTCAGAACGTACAAGCCTCCGCACCCTACAGGCTACTTAATATCCCGCTCTTTCAGTGTCCTCTGACTGGACCTAGGGGATGTCTCCCCGACCACTGGTTACACTGAACCCTAGCCCTTATAAGGGCTGGAGGGCTTGGTCCAGGGTCCTAGGCTTCTTCCGCCGTCTTGGGTCTTCGTGTAGTCGAACTCCTCGAGAGCTCTGAGCGCTCTGGCTTTATACTTGTTCGTGGCCGGGTTGTCCAATCCCCGGCCACCTTGTGGAACCCTGTGATTGGTCATTCCCAATCTGCTTTAGGATCCCAATTCACCCTATCTGACCCTGACCATTAGGTCGCGCGGGAAAACCTTGTTTACGGTCAGCGCTCACAGCTTGTGAGACCCTGACCGTTAGTTTGAGCGGGAAAACCTTGTCAACGATTAGCTCTCCCAGTTTGTGAACATCGAGTAGGTAACTCTACTACAAATGTTAAAAGTTTGCTACCAAAAGGTAAGAAACGGCAAAGCAATTTACCAGAACAGATACATGCCATGCCTCCCAAACATCCAATTAGCTTAGCTCGCATTAAAGTAACTAGGTGTACTACCCGGCTTCGCCCAGGACTTGGATCCACCACGCCCGGCCGCCATTGTCTCCCCAGTGGCGATGTTCACACACCACAGCAGTTACTCGTTTGAGGCTGAGTCGACCTAGGGGAGGCCCAGGAGCGGTTTAAATAATCGTCACCGGTGGTGGCCGTGAGCGGGATACGAACTCGGGTCGCCGGGTTCATAGCACTACACTACAATGCGTTACGCTTCCACGTACGCGGGTCACATGACAGATTTGACGTCACAGATCACTTGCCGTGCTAAAAATATATGCATTATTGAGCTCCCCCCCCCCCCCCCCCAAAAGTGTATTTTTATAATTTTTGCATGGTGTACAGTCTGGAAAGTACCCACATTGCTAATTTCCAGTTTGCATATTGGGAAGTACGCTAAACAATTGGAACAGACACACATATTCACAATTTTTATGTATATGTAGATAAGAATGGCTTATGACCGGATCGATCGAAATATGCCCGTCTGATAAGATCTCAGAAAGGAGAGTGCTTGGATAGGTGACCCCCATTCTTAACAGGTGTGATAGGCTGCAGAGCTTCGATGAGAGCATCGGAGAACAATGCAACGAAATCTACTGCTTTCCTGGACTGTACTATGCTTGGATGGGCAACCAGCATACATGACAGATGTTATAGGCAGCAGAGGGGCCCTGTTGAGATGCAACAGATGGAAATGCAGCGAAATTCGCCAACCCACGCTGATCAGCGTGATCGAGTACGGTAAAAAAAAACTACCATGGGACCTCAAATCATAGATCACATTACCACCAACTAGGGCAACATTTTTAGTGGTTTGTAAAATACATAATGTGGTTCCGTCGATCGATGTTTAATATTTTAAATCTCCTCCGGTTCCACCCATCCACCCACCCCTTTTTCTGCTCCTACCCCTTTTTCGAAACAGTAAATGAAGGACTGTAAACCTTACATTCTGCCTTCATCACTTGACAAAGGTTACCACCACCAATCACGGCGGGTCATGTATGGGGGGTGGTGCTCTGAGTCGCTGATTTAACGTCTGAAGCTGCTTTGAAGCGAATCCTCATCAGAAGCCATGCCTCCCTGGCTGCAACAACAGCTGCTGCTGCTGCTGATCGTGCCTTGTATCGTATTCGTGCCGGTGGCTGCCGATGTTTGCCTCGATGGCAAGCACTGCGGGTCTGCCCAGTGCTGCCTCTATTCGTCCGGGTGGGATTGCTGCCGCTGGGAGAAGGTACGTGCTTACGTAGCAATGTTTCGGCATGAATGTGATCGATAGGAATGCTACAAAGGGTTACGGTTTTGTGGTGTGTTTAAATCGTATCCTTACAAATGCATGTTAGTGTATCACCCGACCACACACAATTCCATTGTTGCCATGAACACCGCCTACTCATCCGGAAAAAAAAAAAACATCTTACTAATCTTATTAACGTATCCATGTCTGCGTGCTATACAGTATTGCTTGTGTTGATCAAATACAAATATTTATATATTGCTTTGATTAAATATTCAGCCGATTGTTATATCATGGCAATGTTATAGTTGGTGAAGGAGGAGGCCAGGATTGGTTCAGGTTTCACTTACGACTGATGTTAGCCGTGTCCCGGAATCGTTGTGCACCACGTGTTTGAAGGGGGGTTCAGTGTTTGAAGGGGGGGGGGGGTTCAGTGTTTGAAGGGGGGGGGGGGGTTCAGTGTTTGAAGGGGGGGGGTTCAGTGTTTGAAGGGGGGGGGGGGTTCAGTGTTTGAAGGGGGGGCGGGTTCAGTGTTTGAAGGGGGGGTTCAATGTGTATTGGGTACACCACGTGTTTGAAGGGGGGGTTCAGTGTTTGAAGGGGGGGGGGGGGGTTCAATGTGTAAGGGGGGCACCACGTGTTTGAAGGGGGGGGGTTCAGTGTTTGAAGGGGGGGGGGTCAGTGTGTAAGGGGTACACCACGTGTTTGAAGGGAAGGGGGGGTTCAGTGTTTGAAGGGGGGGCGGGTTCAGTGTTTGAAGGGGGGGGTTCAGTGTTTGAAGGGGGGGGGGGTTCAATGTGTATTGGGTACACCACGTGTTTTGAAGGGGGGGGGGGGTTCAGTGTTTGAAGGGGGGGGTTCAGTGTTTGAAGGGGGGGGGTTCAATGTGTAAGGGGTGCACCACGTGTTTTGAAGGGGGGGAGGGGGGTTCAACAGAGGCGTAGCTAGGATATTTTGCGCCCGGGGACGAACTATAAAATTGGCGCCCCCCCCCCCCCCCCTGTTTAATCACATTTTCCTATTACATCGAATAAGGAATAACAATTTAAATTTTAATGAAACATTGGATTTAAAGAAGCAAATTTATAGAAATTATATTACATGGCTCACTCAGTCACTGTCGTAGACTGGTTGACATAGTCTACAAAAGATTAATTTTTCTTGATTTCACTGTCGCAAACTGGTCAATCACGTAATCAAAATCTGTTTTTTTCAATGTTTCTCTTTCAACGCTAAGAAGAACAAGATCGCCGAGACGATCTTGTCCGTTTGAAGCACGCAAATACGACAAAATAAGTTTCAATTTGCTGAACGACCGCTCACAGCTTGCAATTGAAACTGCTATTGTTAGTAAAATTTGCAGTGAATTTCGCAAATTCGGAAATATGTCGTCTCCATAAAACACAATGAAACCAAGAAGATCCAAAGGAGTTTCTGGTAGAACTTCATTCCGGTTACTGAGCGGCATTTTGTAATCTCCAATTTCTGTGAAAAGTTCGTGGCCATTGATGTAGGTGTCATAGAAATTTCCAAAATTTGTGCAATTTCCAGCAGAAATCCAAATTTTATGTTCAGGTCTTTTAGTCGTAAAAACCGTGTTGACATCTCCTGTTGAAGTCGATAAAATACGCTCTTCATAACGCGCACAATTTCTTCGTCTGCTGAAAGTCCTGCATCTCTTGCCAGTTCTCCTGGCATCTACCGACGTCGCCTAATTCTTCTGTCCACATCGATCCCCCAGGCTGTGCATCTTGTTTTGGCGTTTTCTACAGAAACTTGGCTCAAATCATCACGAAGCTTGACAAATTCATGCTCCAAAGATTCAAGATCAGTTGCTGCTTCCTTGAAATTCATAGTAGGATCCTGTAAGCACTTCTGAACACGATCATTTTTCCCAAGAATGACATTCCAGAAATGTAATAAAACTATGAAGTTAAAATTTAATACGCATGCCTGTAACTGTTCTGCATCACTTCTAGTTTCAGGCGTCATAGTTACGTCCTCCGATAATTTGTCTAGCAGCCCTACCAGTTCATCTAGTCCTTCATAGATAGCTTTAACAGCTTCTGATCGTGCACTCCAGCGTGTTTCAGACTCCCACTTTACTGTGATGGGCACAGCTTTTTTTTAACTCTTCCCAACGAATTGTTGAACGAGAGAAAAACAAATATGTACTTTCAACTGTTCCAAAAAATGTGACGATAAATGGATCCTGTTTAGCTGAGTGTACTCCTGCTAAGTTTAAGCTGTGGTTGTCAAAGTTGACAAACAATGCTCTGTGATTGTTGTCACATATTCGTTGTTGAAGGCCAGATATATGCCCAGTCATCACAGCAGCATTGTCATAGCATTGTGCCCGACAGTCGGCTAGAGGTATGTTGTCAAATTTCAGTCTCTCGACGATGACTCTCTCTTGGCTTGCTGCATCTTTTGCATGTATCTCGATATAACCTAAACATGATTCTTTGATAGTTACTTTTTTAGTTTGAAAATCCACATCCACAAATCTTATGACCTGAGAAAGCTGTTCCCGATGTCCTAGATCAGGAGTTGAGTCAAGTAAGATACCGTAGTACTTGTTTTTCCTGATATCACTCAACAATTGGTTCTTTACAGTCAACGCAAGTATGTGGATAAATTCATTCTGGATTTACGGTGACAAATAAGAAACTGATCCCGGATTTTCTCCTGCGTGCTGTACGTGTTTTGCTAACGATGGGTCATACTGAGCAACGAGTTTGATCAGCGGCGAGAAAGTTTCCAACATTTCTATCCACATCCGCATTCAGATTTTCCTCATGGCCACGTAGTGCCAAATTTTGTGAAACCAGAAACTTAATACAGGTGAGTATTCAAATATAAGGTACGAGCGACGTACACGTATAGGTGAGCCTTGTAGCAAATGCTGCTAAATGAAGGCCACGCTATGTTGACGTGCGTGGGCTGCTCCGGCTGCTGCAGCCGCCTGGAGCGTAGTGGTGTCACTAATAAGAACTAAAAAATTTACCCGTAAAAACAAAGTTTTTCACTCTAAATCCTTTATATGCGTGGCGGCTAGAGTTCTCTAGTCCTGTGGCTTGAGATGGCTGCCACCTATGGGTCAGATGATTGTCTGCCAGCATTAAGCAATTGGTAATTAAATATTTAATTTGTTTTCCCTAAACAGTGTAAGATTTTGGAAAAAAAATTTCACGAAAATGTATTGTCACACACAACGAGTCTGTGTGGAAAATGTCAGCTCGATTGGATCACGGGAAGTGGGTTAAAAAACGACCGAAAGATTTGCACGGTCGTAAGCAAGCAAGCACGCAAGCAAGCGAACTTAATATAAAGGATTTAAAAATTAATCCGTAAAAACAAAGTTTTTCACTATAAATCCTTTATATGCGTGGCGGCAAGAGTCCTCTCATCCTCTGGCTTGAGATGGCTGCCACCTATGGGTATTTAAAAATGTTTCCCTAAACAGTGTAAAATTTTGGAAAAAAATTTCACGAAAATTTATTGTCACGCACAACGAGTCTGTGTGCAAAATGTCAGCTCGATTGGATCACGGGAAGTGGGTTAAAAAACGACCGAAAGATTTGCACGGTCGCAAGCAAGCAAGCGAACTTAATATAAAGGATTTAAAAACAGGCCGTCGTAGTTTCCGCCACCAAAAAACAGGCCAGTGACTAAGGCTAAAAGACTGCGCCTGTCTGTTGTTTGGGACGTTCTTCCATGTAAGTTCTTAATAGGCGCGCGTACCAAAATGTAATTACATGACATGTAGGCTGTGTGTGGCGGGATATATAAACTTTTTGGTTGAGGTGTAGATTTGTGCAGTAGTTTCAGGCTGCCGCGCCCGCCGCAATAAGTTATAATGTCACGTTGTAAGCCTCATTTTGGCACCCCTTTACCTTGGCGCCCGGGGACATATGTACCCCCCTGCCCCCCCCCTCTGGGGTTCAATGTGTATTGGGTGCACTTACAGTATTATGTTGACAGTAGCAAGTAGATAACATTCATTGGCGAGTTAAGCAGGGATTATATTTTTTATATACGAACCCTCGACATTCACGATCACGTAAATTGCGAAAACATCAAAGTGTATGTGTCGTGGTTTAACGCGCAAATATTCGAGCTGCGTGCAAGAAGAGCATCATCATGGCAATGTCAAGAGCAGCCAGGGTCGGGATGATTGTCTTGCATGTTTGTATATTGAATTTCTTTCGCACCGTACGTAACCAACCGTGCTGATGCGTGTATCCAACAGCAAATATTCAAAATGCAAAACAGGCAATTGTTGTTATAAATAGCTGACCATCACTGTACGGTAATAGAATACGGCACAGGTGAAAGATGAAACCCCTGAATTAAATTGATTGCTCGCACCACTGCTGCATGGCTGGGTGGCCTCCACTCGAGAGAGCGAGTCCTTTTCGAGGGTGTTTGGCAGAGGTGTGGACTCGAGTCAGACTCGAGTCATGAATTTGATGACTTCAGACTCGACTTGGACTTGCATAACAATGACTTTGTCCCACCTCTGAGGTGTGGACTCGAGTCATGTGACTTGGACTCGAGTCAGACTCGAGTCATGAATTTGATGACTTCAGACTCGACTTGGACTTGCATAACAATGACTTTGTCCCACCTCTGGTGTTTGGCCTACTCTTCCACACACTTTGCCCCACAGGGTGTTACAACTGACGCGCCAGGAGATCGTACTGTCCGTCTTCTAACTCCAGTGATACATACAGTGAGGGAAAAAAGTATTTGATCCCCTGCTGATGTTGTACGTTTGCCCACTTACAAAGAAATGATCAGTCTATAATTTTTATGGTAGGTTTATTTGAACAATGAGAGACAGAATAACAACAACAAAATCCAGAAAAACGCATGTCAAACATGTTATAAATTGATTTGCATTTTAATGAGGGAAATAAGTATTTTACCCCCTCTCAATCAGAAAGATTTCCCTCACTGTATCTCATCTCGGGAGCATCTTATCCAGTGTAATA